TGCGAACGCCCGTAAAAAGTTAAACGCGACAGACGACGCGAAGCCCCACGCCACGGTGTGAACTTCATTGTACGGAACACTTGAAAGTGTGATACTGCATGAAGGTATTTACACATGAAGGTATCGAATAATTAGGCCCTATTCTCATTAGCGGCGGACGGCACAACAATTTTAATCTAAATCTTCAGATTGGCTCCGGCGAATGTGGAAAACTTCTACCGCGCTTCCACTAGCAGTTGTGCCGGCGGAACTCGATAAAAAAATGCTTACGTCAGCGGCACAAAAATATTAAAAGTTCGACCCTTGTGCCCCCTTGGGTCGAACTCCTATTTTTCTGTGCCGGTCAACCACGTGGTTGAACTGGCCACTCACAGCCCGAGGTGCTAGATTCTGGCGCGCCAGGGCTGCAAGTTGCAACGTAGTGATGACTGTGCACAGGAGGCAAGCACAGCAGCTGTAGGATAGCCTGTAGGGTACCTAGCTGGTCTTTTGCCTGCTGTCTTCCTGACCACATCAAGAAGCCTGGAAACCACCATGGAGGAGCGCGAAGGAGAGGAGGTCAGCTTTCAGCAAGTGTGACTTGTGGCGCGAGATACTGCTCGGGGTTTAGGGTTTTGCATGCCAGCCGCCGGGCAATTCCCGATTTTGTACCTGGACTTGTGCCGTGGTGTGATTTCACTTGCGGCCGGCACAACTTCACGCTTTTCGCTTTTTTGGGCACTTCCGGGCAAGTTCCGGGCAAAAAAGGATTTATTAATTGTTGTGCCGTCCGCCGCCAATGAGAACAGAGCCTTAAATACGACTAGACTCTAGAGTCACAGATCAGCGATGATGATGCTATTAGTGGCGCGCGCGCGCGGCGATTCCACCTGAAGCCTATTACCTTCAGGTACTATTAGGTACTATTAGGTATTAGGTACTATTAGGGCGGCAAGGACGACTTACCGAACCTAATTCTAATTCTAATTCTACCACCATCCATTTCTGGGCTGATGGCGATGCATCAAAGTCCAACATGAAGTTCCAACTGTAACATTGCAGAGAAGGCCTGGTGATCAATCTATGGCCGCATTGCATCTTCATAAGCTGGCCTGTAAATCGAAAAGAGCGGCTGGACTTTTGCGCATGTTTTTGGATATAAATTGCTCAAAGCATAGCTTCCATTCAAACAAGGAGGTTGAAATTTCCACAAGCGTGGCTTGCAGGCTCAGCAGATTGACAGCCACAGTTGAGGAGAACTTGGTATTTGGTGGTGCAGCAAAAGGAGGCTCTCGACTGTCCGATTCTCAGCTGGCAAAGTCTGGCGGTGTCGCGCCACTTTGTTCGCCAACTTTATGGCCTTTGAAGAAGATAGGGAGTTGCACTCAGGAGTTGGCTTACCCTTATGGATCAACACAGCCAGCAGCGAAATTAGTTGCCCGCTTCCATGAAAACAGAAATCCATGCCAGGTAGCGTCATTCACTAGCTCGCCACCACTTGCTCTGATGGAGGGGGATGAGATCAATGTCAGCAGCTTCACTCCTCAAGTCGCCAGCGCTTCGGACTTACCTAGTGTGATCCCCTTCACTCTTGACCTGTCTCACCGGAACAAAGGTCAGTCCTCTGATGATCTTCAGTTGGCCTTCTTATTGATGCACCTCGTAGGTGATGGTTGCTTGGATTGATTCCTGAGTGCACCACTTGTCATCAGTAAGAGTGAATTTCTTCTGACAGCGAATGCTTCTTACGTGACATATTTCAAGAGTCTATTTTGATTCGATGGTGCGGAACTGCGCCATTCTGTCAGCCGCTGTACGTTCAGATGTGACCTTAATTGCCTTTATTCTGCAAGGCACTGTACTTTCAGATGAGAACCCCATAGCCGCCAGGTATCCGTACACACTGCTCTGATCATTATCGGCCCCACAATCTGCAAATCCCGACTCCCAGTAGATTCTGGTTGGAGAGCCTTGGTTGTCTTTAATATGCAACATACGCACAGGTCTTGTGGACGAGTTGGAAGTGCACTACGCAGGAGATGCCCAGGAAAACCCTCAAGTGACCAAGAGGTGAGCCACTATTGTACTTGAAGCAACCGTTATGATGACTGATTGCTTCAGATCCTCCTGAAATGAGGCGCTACTGTTTGAGGCCACTGCAAGACAAAGCGTGAGCAAAAGTCAGCACCAGCCTCAAGGCCATCCATACTTGTATGGCTCAGCACCTCAGACAAAGTCTGCATCTTAGCAGTGCGTGTTTTACATATTGGTTATGGGACTTTTTGACACATGCTTTACTTGAGAAAAGGGCCCATCAGCGTCGAAGAGATCAAGAGAACCTGCCACTTACCTTGTAAGCCATGGATTGACTTGCAGGTAAGGTCACAACAATGAGACTAACAGCTCCTCTCAATCTGCAGCATAACAGAAAGACGACCAGAGGAGTCCTGGATCGAAATTCGATATCCATTCACCAGATCGGCAAGCTTGAAAGAGCAGTACCGATTGTTTGGGACAGGCTATGTACGGTTCGGGAAAATTCTCGAGGACAGTAAGTTGCCACTGCAACACGAAGTTGCTAAAAGATGCTACCTTCAAAGAGAAGGTCTTGACAGGCCCTCTGCCGGAGCTCCTCGAGTCTTCTTCCCTCGACATTGTTTGAAACTTGAAAGTACGAAAGTGATGGATGATGGTTCCGACATCTCGTTGCCGATACTTCAAAATTTCTGCGTTTGCTCAACACTGCTTCGACCCGACGATGCGGTCGCCCCACGAGGCCGAGTCTCTAAACTGCTTACCTCGACAAATTAGTTATCACATTGCTGAGATTCTAAAAAGATTCGTTTCAACGGCTCAGTCTTTCACGCTGCTCCGCTTCCGACAGACTCCAATAAACCGAACTGTCAAAATTCAACCAGATTGTTTTGACAATCCAGTCTTGTCACGCTTCCAAACTGCTTCGCTTTGACGAATCAATCTGCTGACGCTGCTGAGCTGCTAAACTGCTTCATATGGACAACTCCGTTCGTCAAGCTGCTGAGACTCTCCTGCTTTACTTCAACGTTTTCAATCTTACCACGATGTAGAGAATCTAGACTGCTTCGTATTGATGACTCAGTCCGACATCGCAATCAGCATCATCCTAAGCTACAGGAGTTACTGCTCTAGCCTCATTCCCGAATATGCTGACATAAAAGAATACTCTATTCACAGTGGACGCTATGGCTGGTGACGTTGTTTGGCGGCACCTCCGGAGGAAAGACCGGCTGATAGCCACCGCGGCTGTGGACCATTTGGCTTGGGCTGGCGAGTTGATTCGGCTCGACAAGGACCTGCGAATACAGGGTCAGGTGAAGGACACGTGTCGTTTGTGCTATTGATTGATGCTGCCTTTTCTTGTCAAATCATCGGCGTCAGATTGGTCCACCGGGATCTGGTTTTGAGAGACATCCCAACCTTTTTGCGAGCAAACCCCAGCAGCAAAATCAGGAGGAAGTTTTGATCGATCTCGACCATTGAGAATGATTACGAGGTTGCGTCATATGTGGTCGAGAGATCCTGACAGCTCAACGCAAAAGACTGCACTAGATTCAGTCATCATGAAAATCTGTTCTGGACCAAAACAGAATGGACGTCCGAAGAAAGAAGAGATTGAGATTGAGAAGAGGCTGGATCTTCGTGCAGGTGACGTGGGCGGGGCGCTCTTCGATGAGGGTTACTCTCGAAGCGTCCATCGTCCATCCGGATACAATTATCGAAGCTTTGCATTGAACCCGTTTCGCAGGTGACGTGGGTAGGGCGCTCTTCCACGGAGATTACACTGAAAGCGTTCAAGTGAGAGTACCCTGCAAGCGTCCCTCAGCCGGGCATTGTTTTCGAACTTCTGCATCGAACCGTTCCGCAGGTGACGTGGGTGGGGCGGTCTTCGATGGAGATCACGCTGGAAGCTTCCACCGTTGGGCCGCAGCCGGGCGACACTCCGGAGGTTTTGGGTAGCGCGCACTTCGTCATGGTGTCACGGGAGGACGACAAGGCGGCGCCGGTCCCGCAGCTAGTGCTGGAAACGCCGAAAGCTAGGAAGCTTTTTGAGGTGCGGCGTTCTTCGCTGGTATCCCTGTCTGAGCCTCCTCAACTATCGGGAGGCTCACAAATGTGCGTCGCATCTGAGCCCGGAATATCCGATCCTTCCTAGCTCTGTCCCTCTTCGGGTAACAATA